TCCTCCGGCGGCGGGGCGGCGACCTCCTCTGGGAAGGTAACGGGCGGGCGCGGGGCGTGGGGGGCTGTCCCCGTCAGACGGGCCGGCGGCGGCCGCTTCCTGCGCAGGGGTGGCCCGAGTTAGGCTTGCAGGTAGAACCTCCTAGGCTGTCGCGACATGACGTGAGCTCTCGCTGGCTAAAACATGTTGTAACCGTTTGGTGGAGGAGAGCGAATGCAGAAGGAAGCTGCTCTCCTAGGTTGGTAACAGTTCTTCAAACAGTGGCGGGGGTTTTTTTTCTTCAGGCATCCATTGTCACGATGCTTTGTTTACTTGCTTTCCCCCAAGGAAAGAACTCGGGATTTCCTATCTGTGCGTTAAGGTGGGATTCGTTACTTTATTTCAGTAAGCTGAAATGCACGATGGCGTTGTCAGGCTGGCAAATCTTACATTCGGAATTGCTGAAAAAAAAAATAGGGAAAAGTTCTACAACAGCTTTTCCAGTGTTCTTGCTGCCTCACTTGTGCTTCCACCATGATCTTCTGTGTCGTCAGGTATGGAATTACCTCAGTCAGTTTCCGTGTGCTCTTCTAGCACATTTAAGTGTGTTAAATAAAAGAGAACACACCTACAGTTGTATGCTGAGTCAGATAAAGCACTAAATATACTTCTTGTCACTGAGGAATGGATCAGACGTGGTGAAAGGAAGACAGATGGCGAGGTGGTTTGTGACAGTTTTTTTTTTTTTTTAACTTACAAAATAGTTTTATAATCCGTATACCAAAATAACACATTGTAGAGCAGTTGCTCTTCACCCCTTTAAAGAATACATATCACACTTTAAAACTGCCGTTCTGTCATGTAGACTGAAACATGCATGTCATCATCACTGCTGCATCTGTTTTTTCTTCTTTGAACTAATAAAAGGCTATGTGGTAATAGTACATTCACAGAAGTTTACATCTTGAAGTACTGTTTGCACCATGTAATAGTAAATGTTTTCTTTAGCAGCTGAAATAAATAGTATATTCTGCTTGTTTTAACCATGTTTTTCTTTTGCAGAAATGCAGGAAAAGTGAATTTATGGAATAAAAATCTTTGCATCTGTCCAAGGAAGCAGAATTTGGTCTCTTTTGAAGGTGCCAAGTTGTACATAATATGCCAATGATATTGGTGTATAAAGAGCTCCTCACCATACAGAATATAGAAATGAGAGTAGAGTGTTCCTGTCTGTAGAGAATCTGTAATTGTAAGGTGATGGCTACTGTCTGGTTTGGCACTAATGATATTTCAAGGTATTTGTCCATACCTGGGAGTGCACTTAGTAAATGTAGCCTGAGTAATAAACATGTTCTGTTTTGGCAGTAGTGCTGTTTTAGGATGAACCTGTGGGGGATTTTGTTCTTGTCATTGTGAGTGTACAGCAGTTTGAATTTACTGCTTAGCTAGAACGATAGAGGACATACAGGCATATCATACAAATGTAGAGGGGTTTTTTTATTGGTAATTCGTATTTTTTATAAGCTGTTACTTACAGGAAAGAACTAAATAAGCCTGAGATTTATTGTTCTTCATGTATTACATGAAAGGAGGTGAAGGATGTTTTTCTGTCCAATAATTAAGCAATATCTTGCAGTCCTTCTTTATGTCATTTGTTTAAATGATTTTTTTTTTCCTTCCCAACTGTAGATCAATAAAGGTTTTGGCTGTTACCTGTTGTTGTAAAGATCACAGTTTGAAGAGACAACTACCTTTTTTATAAAAAAAGATTAAAAGTTTTTTTTGGTGATGAGCAAACGCTATGCTTTGGGTCTTTAGTATCCTGTGTGTTTAGAGTTAAAATGTGCAGTTTTGAAGATATGGTCATGAAGAAAGTGCAGAATGATACTTGCTTTAAGTTTATGAGTTGACGCATTCATCTGTAGCCAGAGGAACTGCTGTCCAGTTACAGATGTCAGATTTTTACATATACTGGTTGTGAAATTATGTGCCATATTTAAGAAAATTATTCCCAATATTTTTGTTAGTACACTTCGTGTGAGAATTCCACTAGTAATGCATATTATTTTTATAAAACTACAGTACATTTTGCATCTTATGTTTTAAGTGTGAATTTGGTTCATCCTTACAGCCACTCCAATGCAATGGGGAAACTGAAATATCAAGTGAGGATATTTGTTTCTGTGGGCTAGAAGAGTCAAAGTCATGGGCCAGTGTTTTATGGATTTTGGGTTCTGCCAGGTGGTTTGTTAGGAAGCTGTCAGACAAGTCTTGGCCTGTGGGAGCATTGCTGCCTTGTTGCCTCTGTCTGAAGGAGCTGGAAGAGAAGGCTCCAGGAAAAAGTTCTTCACGGAGAGGGTGGTGAGGCACTGGAACAGGTTGCCCAGAGAAGCTGTGGATGCCCCATCCCTGGATGTCTTCAAGGCCAGGCTGGATGAGGCTTTGAGCAACCTGGTCTAGTGGAAGGTGTCCCTGCCCATGGCAGGGGGGTTGGAATTGGATGGTCTTTAAGGTCCCTTCCAACCCAAACCAGTGTGATTCTATGAGGTGGAAGAGGAGACTTGTACTCCTGAAGGGTCATACCTCTGCTGACCCAGGGTGATGATGCTGATCTGCATCCAGGGGCTGTCGCTTAAAGCCGTGTATCTCTTCTGGACTGAATCAAATGATTCCTCTTTGGGCTCCGGCCAAAGTGAGGTTTCTTCAGGGTTGATACTTTGTTTACCTGCTGTGAGCTCAGCTGAAAGGCCTGTTATCCAGGAGGGCTTTTAACCGTGCTACAGTATCTGTGGAAAACAGGTTAATTATGTTAAGCTTTAGAATCTGGGAAGAGGTTTACCCATTAGAAAAAACAAATGAATGTATATACTTTTTTTTTTTCCCCTCAACTGTGTCCTGTGTGACTTTCTGTGTATTTTGTTTTTGTTGTACGTTCTTCAGAACTGGGTTTGTCTCTCAGCTTGAAAAGTAAAAGTATGTTGTGCCTACCATCAGAACTAAATAAATACAAGATGAAACTTATGCTTGACTTTTGTTTTTGTGAGTTTATGCTTGAACACTCCTCTCTGCCTTTGTCCCCTTTACTCTGGTCTAAACAAATTGTAGGTACTATGCAAGATACATCTTGGGTAGAAGGACAGAGGAGTTCCTTAAGGATATGCCCCAAATCTGTATTTTGTGATGATGGAATGCAGTCTGTTGGCACCTTACATTTTGAGAAGGTGGAAAATATATATAAAATATATAAAAAGTATAAACGTATATATTTAAAATGTTGATGCATTTTCACATAACCTTTAGTTGGATGCAGTTGGTGCTTGCTTGAAGCTTGACAGGTACAGTATTGCCAGTTAAAGCTGAAAAATCTATATTGTAGTGACTTGTAGAGGTGAGCAGGGCTTTATGCCCTCCAAAATAAAACCCATCTTCGGTTTTGGGGTGGGGGGGGAGAGAAAAGGAGGCATCTTGTCTGCACTTACATGCTGCTGCTCTTCTCTGTGGTTCCTGGGGCGCCCAAACTGAACACCACCACGCAGTTCGGCTTGGAGATGGTTATTGGGTTACGCAGCCTGCGGCTTGGTGCGTTGGCCTTCCAGCATTTCCAGTTCGTGCTCCTGTGGGCTCGTTATTTCCAGTTTGAGCCACGTATTGAACAAGGTACTCTTCTGGTGATAGTTGAAAAAGACTGGTACGTTGACGGTGTAATAGAGGTTTTCATGATGTTGTAAAATAGTGAAAGTGTCAGAAGTCGAATTTGCTCGTGGCTTCCAAAGGTAGAGCATGCGATTGAAAACGCTGGTGATAGTAAGGCACGTTCAAATTTTATTCTTTAAGCGGCAGTGTGTTGAAACCTAAACCAATCTGTCTTCTTGGCCTCAGCTCAAGGGAACGAACCAGGTGTAATTTCTTGTTTTAATGGGGGAGGCTCTTTAAAGGCTGTGCAGGGTTAATACCTCTTTGTCATTTGCATGGGGGAGGCTGTAACAGAATAGCAGATGCGTGGGGCTGAGCTTTCGCAGGGTAAAGCAAAGTAAAAAGTCTTTGAGGCCGTTCTGGAGAGGGACAGCTGGATGCAACATTATTTTTCCGTAACCTGTATGCATCTCGGTTTTTTCTTTCTTTCCCAAAGCTCATCTCCAGATCCCCAAATTAGGTAGCAGGCTATTACTAAAAAACAAGAAAGGAGAACACCCAGCTGGCGAGGGTAGGTGGCACTTCGCACCCCCCCGCATGCCGGCGCTTTATGCGGTGCTGTTCCCACCGGGTGTCGCTGTTTCACCTCGCTATCGCCAGCGCCTGCTCGGGCTGCTTCCACATTTCGCGGAGTGCTCGGTGTAGGCTGTCCCGCTGCTGGAAACAATCCAGGGATTTGCTTGCTGCCCCCACCCCAGCCGTGTTTGAAGGAGGTAGTTCCTTAGGAGAGGGACGTACAGTGCAAGTGGGCGCTGACAGTTGAATGACTGTGCATAATACGCGTTTTGTTCCTGCCAGGCTGTTTGCTTCCTGGGCAATGCTGGGTGACTTTTCCTCCCTTCTGAAAGTCGTTAACTTTATGAGCAAAAGCGGGTAACTTTGAAATCTACGACCCAATACCTCTTTAATGAATGGAGAGAAACTGTTGTTTACAAAGTCCAATAGATCCCGGTGTTTTGGTTTCAACCCCCCTGACGTTACTTAGCATGCATTACTGTATAATTGGTGGCAGGTTTTTCGTTAATTCCTATCTGTATGTCCGCATTAGCCAACTTACACCGAGCAGGCTCCTGGAGGTCAGTAAAACAACGGAGAGTTGCCCATGAAACTGCAAAATTTGAAGAATAAAAATAAGAACGTACACATGCATTTCTCTGGATTTGGCAGGTAGGTGTCATTTTCCACTCAGAGATAATAAGGGGCCAGCTCTGACTGCTGTGAGAGCCTAATTAAAGCATTAGTGGTTATAATGATAAAATTCCAATAAACGCATTGTTTATGCAAATACTTTATTTACCATTATTCCCATCCTCCACTTTGCTCCCTGCCCTCGCTTCCAAGTGATAGCATCACGCAATATAGGTCAAGAATTTATTTTTGATGGTGAGAAGCACTGAGAAGTGATAAGTAACTGGGATGATACTTTGGTTAAGATTTTGCCATGGTTACTGTTTAGATGTAGCTTGTTTCCTGCCTATAGTTCAGTAGTCTCTTCTGGTGTGATAAAGTAAGTATCAGTTATAGACAGTACGGTGCCACAGGGAGCTTCAAAGCAGTTAGGAAGACTGTGTTACATTACACATTTTCTTACTATCTGCCATTATTCTATCATCTGCATTTCCTTTATTCTTATTTCCACCATCTGTCTGAGAAAAGGCTCTTTTTCATATGAGCTGAATTCCCTTTTAGTGGCTTTTCTCTGGCTTAATCTATATCATTAGACTGGGCATTTGCTTAAAAATTCTTCGTGCCGTAGCAGCTCTCACTGAGAAACACCTGTGCCTAAGCAGACCTAGAGAGAGAAACTATAACACGTTTTTGAAAGTTGCCTTTGAAAATTCTTATTTTCTCATCTCTGATTGAAAAACACAAAAAAAAAGAAAGGAAAAAAGCCTTAGTGATTTACAGCATTAAGTGCTGAGGAGGGCTTTCTTGTAAACCATTTAGTTCTAATTCTGTCATAATTAAAAAAAATCAATACAAAGAGTTCTCTTAGGAGTAGGCTAACAGACTAAAAAATCTCAAATTCAACCTGGGTTTTAATAGATTTAAAACTTGTTTCCTTGGCTATATATGTCAGCCCTACAAAATTAGAATTTGAAACAGTCTGCTTTAAATTTGGGAGAAAATGAACGTCTGGTGTATGGTGCAAGTAGTCTTCTGCTTTTTGGATGTCTCTTTTGGGCTGACAAACACAAGGGAACATTTCTGAAAATTAAATCAGTCATGAAGAAGGCGTTAGTGAACTAGGTGTGGCAAATTCAACAATTTTGTCTTACAGTAGCATTGACAGCAGAAAAAGTAACATTACAAAGCTGAGTAAGTATACTTTCTTTAAGCATACAAATAAGGGTTAATACGTGGCATGCAGAATTAAAATGTGCTACTTGGTGCTATTTGTCAGAGGTGTAAAAACAAAGGGGAGCTATTCAGGGGCTTTGCTGAGACTTCAGAAAGGTGGGACTCCAGTCCCACACCCCAGCCTGCCTGTGGTAGACTCAAACTGCCAAAATAACTGACCTCGCTGTGTTCCAGTAAAGGGAATTCCGCCTCCCCTACCTCTGCTTTTTAACAATTGATAGCAATTCAGCCTGGGGGGATTGAGGCAGATCCTATTTCAGGACATCAGAGATTGAATTTAGTTCAAACAGTTAGGCAGCAGGGAAACTTTCATGACGGAATCTGGTGTAAAGGGTAAGTAAATTTGAGTGCTGTAAGTGTAGTGATGGAGGTCCAATTAGAGCAGTGTCTGATAGTGACACCCTGCAGGAGCACATTCAGGTAAGTCTTGAGAATCAGGTCCAAAATAGGACTTGAGGCTTTTCTTTGTTGTAATGTTGGTATGAAAGATAAGAAAGCTAGCAAGTGCTTAATCTCTTAAATCCAGCCCCTCCCCCCCC